AATCCGTCCATTCTGATTGGTCAAGACATGTGTACTGATTGGCTAATGCCTGTCTTGTACCAGTTGTTGCATGTTTTGAATATTGCTCTTGGGATTTGGTGCTTATAAAAATGTTTTAGGGCTTGGGAAGCAGACCTGCAGAAACATACCACAGAAGTGACCTGCCAGGGGAACTATTTCCTCTGTTTCCAATCAAGAAGGTGAGAAGTCAGGAGGCCACCACTGGAATTATTAATGTTCTAAAACTGATTTATGGAGATGGTTGTACTACTTGGTAAAGTTACTAAAAAAATCATTGAATTATATACCTAATCACTACTTAAAGGAGGTTCCACTTTTTAACACTGTTGCATTGGGGATTAAGTTTCCAACACATGAGCTCTGGGGGACACATTCAAACCATAGCAAGTAAATGAGAGGCTGGCTGGTTAGCTCAGTGGGTTAGAATGCAGCCTTATAACACCATGGTCACAGGTTCAGATCCCCATACTGTGGGAATCAGTGTCCATCCATGTGTGGGGCCTGGACTGAGCCAGAAGAGGAGGAAGACAGGATAAGGAACAGGATCATGTCCTCAGGGCTAGAAGATAGAGTGGGGGGGACCAAAACACCTCAGATTTTACATGTTAACAGCTCCAAGAACACATTTTGTCTCCCTGTAGGGCCTTTGTTGATGTTCTTTCCTTCTGCCTTAAATGCCTTTCCTCTTACTTATCCTTTGACTCAGTTGAATGTTTCCTCCTCCAGGAAGCCTTCTTTGCCCAAGCAGACTGAGTTGCTCCCTCATCTGCATTCCCCTTGCATCCTCTGTTCCCCCAAATCAACACCTCTCACACTAAGTTGTCCTCATCCATTTGCCTGTCTGTCTCTCCAATGAATGGAAAGCCCCTTAAGGGGATATAATGACAGATATAATGACAAACTGTGATATCTGTGAGAAAGGAGCAGGATGAGGTGCCACATCCNGCACAGCACCCTACAACCCTTGAGTTTGCCCCACCCCTCCCCCTCGGGCCTGGGAAGCAGGTGGACCTGGTCTCAACCCCCAGCCCCAACTGCATTCATTTACGCATTCAAGCGTTTCCTGAGCACTTGTTCTGAGCCAGGCGCTGTCTTAGGTGCTGGTCAGGCAGGAATGCATGGGGCATAGAGTTTGGTGAGGGAGGAGCCATAGTGAAAAATCACCCAGGAAGACTGCCGCAGATGCTGCTGGTGCCTCGCCCCACCCCTTAGCTCTCATCTTCGTGGTAAAAGCCAATGGTATCCTGCGACTCTTCACCCAGGGCCTTCTTGAGGTCAACACACAGGACAGGCTGAAAGTACAGGGAGTTAATATCCTCAGGAGGAGCCCTCAGCCCCTAATCAATGGGAATTCTTCATCCCATCGCATGGGACAACCCTAGGCCTGTTGTACATTCTCCCAAGGGTCCCCAGCAGGATGGAGTCCCAAGTCTCCCACAGCGACAACCTGCTCACTAACACACCCCATGTCACTTCCTTCCATCCCCAGAATCACTCCCCCACTTCCAGACCAGCACTACCTGGGATCGCCCTCCAAGTAAACTACTCTCACTCAAACCCTTGTCTCAGGTTCTGCTGCTGGGGAAACCAGCCTACGACAGATATAATGACAAACTGTGATATCTGTGAGAAAGGAGCAGGATGAGGTGCCACATCC